CCACCCTGGCTGGCAATGGGATTGAAGAGGGACTGCAGACTCGGAGGCACGGTTTGGAGCCTCTTGTTCTTAAGACCCTGGGTCAGAGCTGATCCACCCTCCCCTCACGTGCGTGAGCTGCCTCCCCTCCCCAGCCCCACCAAGAACTGCCCAGTTAGCTGTGAAAGGAGCTGTTGGTTCTCGCTCAGGTCTCTGCCTTGCAGAGCCTGCGTCCCGCAGCAGAGCAGGAATGCTCCTTGTGATGCTGCAGCAGTCATAAACTAGGTCAAATACGATCTAAACCCTTGCTTGATATCCCTCGAACTGAACTCCTGCCCTGCCTGAGTATGCCCCAAAGCGGGTTATGACTCGCTGGCTTACTGGGAGCTAAGAAGGATGCGCAGGCTTTACCGCAGCGCTGTGTAAACCGAGCTAATGCAGGCAGCCCAGCCTCCCTCCCCTTCTAGCCCCAGCCCAGCTTCATCCTGCCGAGGGATGTATCCTCCCCATGTGCTTTCCTTGCTCCTCTTGCTGGGTGCCTTTGGTGGCCAGGGCTGACACCAGCGCTACTGGCAGAGGGTGAGGGCCTCGGGCTGTCCTGGCTCACCCGAGCCTGTCTTCGTCCCGCTGGTCGACGTGTTACGTGTTTCACCTCTGTCACTTCTCCTCCAGGCGCTGGTGGTGCTGCAGCTGTGGGGTAACACCGAAGTGCTGTTCCTAGACACGTGGCAGGAATTCGGCCAGCACGTCTCTGCGCTGACGAAGGCAATAGCAAAACGCCCGTACAAGTGAGTCGTATCGCTGGACTCGGTCACATCCCAAACCCAGAGCTTAGGGGAACCTCAGCGGAAGCTACAGGAACGTTTATCTGTAGCTGCCAGCCTGTCCTTGATGCTGTCAGTGTAAGGGCCCACACTAGATGTGTCTCAAGGTCATTTTCGGTCTCTGTGCCAATGAGAATCCTCTGTTCTCATGGTGAATGAGGTGGTGATTCAGCACTAGGAAAGGAGGGAAAATGACGGCCTTAGGAAAACCAAAAGGTTAGGAAAACCCCAAGGTGTTCTGGAGCTTTCCAGGGAAGGAAAGAAAATTATGAGAGGGAAAAAATATTAGTCCTGGGCAGAAAGAGGTTTTAGAAGGAAGCCCGCTGCTTAATGCTAGGGGAAGGCTGCAACGCCTGGGGTCTGCAGGCCTGTGCTCGGTGCACGCACCGGCCCCAGGTCTTGCTCTCAGCAGTCTGTCTTTCTGCAGGAGGCAGCTGGAGTCGCAGGAGTTGCCTTTCTGCACTGCCGGGGCCTGGGCCAGCGGGGTGCGAGTGGAGAAGGATGGCACAGGACTCTGGCAGGTGTGGAAGAGACAAATCCAGCAGTTTAACAGAGTCAGCCCTGCAACAGCAGCAGCTATAGCGGAAGCATATCCCTCCCCAAGCCTCCTGTTACAGGTAAGCCCTCAAACCCCTCGGTGTCCTGTTAAAAGCTCGGAGGATGCAGGCAGGGAAGGGTGCCACATGCTTCCTCGCTTAAAGGTCTTTGCTGATGCAGCAAACAAGCCATGAGTGTGAAATCGGCTCTCCAGAAAGGCAAGGCTTGTCTCCAGATAGTGTTTGACTTAAACCAAAGCTTTGTTTCAGCAGTAGCCACCTACCCCTTCCAGGCCTCTCTCTGCCTTGGTCTCACCTCACAGGACCCGCTCAAAGCGTCTTTGCGTTTTTGCTTGGCGATACATTTGGTTGCTCACCCCAGCCGGTGCAGCTGAGGGTCTGTTGGACGCATCCCACTGCCCTTGCCCAACACGGTCTGTCCGTCAGCTTTGCTTGGTTTTATTTGAAATGGGTGATGTCTCAGGTGGCTGCCGTTACGGTCCGACAGCTCTACATCACCCTCAAGCAGAAAACGTGTGTCACCCCTGCGGACTGTGAGGGATTTCCACAGGACACCCGAGCTCTCTTACTGCTTGCTGTCACCAGCGGCATACCCCACGCTTTCCTTGCTCTTCTGTTGCCTGATCCTTCAGAGAGCTGATTTAGCTCACTAAATTCTCCCTCTCCCTACTCCCCTTAGCTTTCTGCTGGTTCGTGAACCGGACTGGCTCAGCAAGGTGCTGGGGGAGCAGGATTAGACTAGAATGCTGTCTGACCCTTCTGACAGCAGCTTAGCCAATTCATGAAGGCACATTTTTATCAGCAAGTGCTTGTTTTTGTGAGCGTTAATCACATAAACTCTTTCCATTAGATCAGGAACTGTGACAGAACTTTTTTTTAAAAAGTCGCATGTAGTCAAATACTCGCCTCTCCTTTTTCTTCCCCTGGAGCTTTGACCTCTGTCCCTAGCACAGCCTCTTCGGAAGAAGTGGCTTTACAGCTCTCTCCTTGTACGCTGGCAGGGCAACACACAACTCTGAGAGTGTGAGGTCTGTTTGCAAGTGATAGATCCTGTTTCTTCTGAGCTTTAGCCCCTGATCCTGGTATGTTGGGATGAAGGCTCACTCATGGATCCTCACTGTAACGATGGGATGGAGCCTTGCAGGGATGATTGGAGTCTTCTCTTAGAGCATCTGTGCTAACTGCTTCCTTCTCTTGTGTGCTCGAAGGCCTATGAAGAATGCGGCACAGAAGATGAAAAACGCCTTCTGCTGAGTGACATCCCAGTGAAATCGGACGTCAGCGGGAAAGACCGCCGGGTCG